GGCAGGATCATCCTTGACTAAACATCCCAGCCAAGTGTCCATCTAACCTCTTAAAAATTTCCAGGGATTGAGATTCCACTGTTTCTCTAGGTAGCCTGTTCCAATGCTTGACTAACCTCATAGTCAGAAAGTTCCTCCTAATCTCCAACCTAAATTTCCTCTGCTGCAGCTTGAGGTCTTTGCTCCTAGTTCTGTCCCCTACAGCCATAAAAAAGCCCATTGCCAGCCTTGTTAGGATCCCCTGTCAGGTATTTGAAGAACGTTATCAACTCACCTCACCCCTGACCCACAGTCTTCTCTTCTCCAGACTAAATAACCCTAACTCGTTCAGCCTTTCCTTATACGGGCCTTGCCACACTTTATGCTGTGAGCTACACAAAGGTTGATCAGCATTAGTGCTAGCTTGGAGCTGTGACAAGAGGCGTGGTGAGCAGGGGCAGAACTAGGAGCTGTAGCTGCGAGCTGCCACAAGAGGGCTTGTGAGCCAGGACAGGCTTCTATCTCTGCAGTATGGGTATGGGGTATGAGAGATCCTGGGATGCTGGAGGACTTCAGCTTGGGCAGCACATCTGTGGAGAGTGGCCACACCTTCATGGAACATTAATCTCAAGAGGTTCAACAAGGGCAAGTGCAAAGTCCTGCACCCAGGACGGAACAATCCCATGCACCAGTACAGGCTGGGGGCTGACTGGCTGGGCAGCAGCTCTGCAGAAAAGGACCTGGGGTTACAATGGACAATAAGTTGAATATGAACCAGCAGTGTGCCCTTGTTGTCAAGAAGGCTAACAGCATACTGGGCTGCATTGGTAGGTGTGTTGCCAGCAGGTCAAAGGAAGTGTTTATTCCCCTCTATTCAGCACTAGTTAGGCTACAGCTGGAGTACTGTGTTCAGTTTTGGGCCTCCCACCACAGAAAGGACGAATTGGAGAGAGTGCAGCGGATAGCAACAAAAATGGTGAGGGGGCTGGGCACATGACTTATGAGGAAAGACTGGGGGAATTTGACTTATTTAGTTTAGAGAAGAGGAAACTTAATACCAGTCTTCAACTCCCTGAAGTGGGTTCAAAAGAGGGTGGAGCTAGGCTATTCTCAGCAGTGGCAGTTGACAGAACAAGGAGCAACAGTCTCAAGTCACAGCAATGATCACAGCAAGGGAAGTTAAGTTAGATATTAGGAAGAATTTTCTCACTAGGAGGGTAGTAAAACACTGGAATGGTTCACCCAGAGAGGTGGTGGAAGCTTCATCCTTGGGAGTTTCAAAGCCTTGGCTGGGATGATCTAGTTGGGGATGGTCCTGCTTTGAGCAGGTGTTGGACTATATGATCTCCTGAGGTCCCTTCCAACCCTCATTTTCTATGATTCTGTGATTCTAGGAGCTGGGTAGTGTGGATCAGAGATAATCCTGCCCTGGAGTGGCATAACTTTGAGCCACAAAACCAGTGCTTAAAGTCCCTTTAAGGTGTTAACATGTGGGGACAACCCAGGGGTTAAGAGCTCCAGTAATTTTGGGCAGCTCCCTAAGTCATGTTTCTCAGGCCCTTGCTCATTTTTCTTATCCTGTGGTGCATGAACAATGCATGCCCCCCGTGGCTGGGGGGGCACAGCGGCAGTAGCGGGAGCACGACAGCAGTAAGCGGGAGAGGTCCTGCAGATGCTGCTGGTGCTGTCGGCAGTGGGGGGGTGGGGGGTGGTGAGTGCTGAGCAGGGGTCGGCAACCACCCGCAGATGCCACTGGCAGCATTGGTGGCGGCCAGGGGGAATCATGGAGAGCAGCACCTTTTTGTAGGGGGTGCACCACCATGCTCAGGGGGTGCGTGTGCATCCGTGTGCACCCCCTACACATCACCCCTGCTGTGCTGGACTCTTTCTAAACTGTTCACATCTTTCTTGAAGCGTTTGGCCCAGATCTGGATGCAGTACTCCAGGAAGGCCTCAGCAGTGCCAAACAGAACAGAAGAGTCACTTCCCTTGATTTGCAAATAACACTCCTGTTAATACAACCTAGTATGCTATGGCCTTTTTTGCAACAAGGGCACATTGTTGGCTCATATTTAGTTTATAGTCTACTGTAACCCCCAGGCCCTTCTCAGCAGCACTGCAGTCTAGCCAGTCATTCCCCAATCTGTATTTGTACATGCAATTATTCAGTCCAGTGGTGATGCATAGGGGGTGCACATGCACCCCCTGAGAGTGCTGGTGGACCCCCTGACAGGCCATGCTCACTGCTTAGGTGGCATGCAGGGGGGAAGGTGGGAGCACTGGTGCCCCCCCGCAAGCACCACAGCCACTTCTGGGAGCACTGGATGAAGTGCCACAGCCACTCCCCTCCCCTGGCCCCATGCCCCTGACTAAGGTGTCACCGGTCACCCATGATTCAGTCCTGGACACAGGACTTTGCACTTGTCCTTGTTGCATTTCATCTGATGTTGTTAATTTCCAACATTTAAAGTGAGGAAACAGCAAGTGTCTTTGGACTCTTTTTTTCAACCCTGGAATTCAAATGTACACGTGAGGAGCTTTCAGTAGGGGTAGCTGCAAGTCAGGACTGGAGGCTTAGGCAGAGCAGTGTTTGTGGAGACCAGGACTGCAAGGGAAAAGAGTCAGAAGTCTGGTATGTTCCCAGGTGATCAGAGCTATTCACTTTTGTTTTCTCTGCCTTTCAGTTACAAATAGCCAAGGACGTACTTAGTAGAGAGGAAGCAGGAAGAGCAGATAATTCCTCACCTATTCACCTGCCCCTTCAATTTGAGCCTGTTCTTCCCCTGCTCCCTGTACACCTCAATTATTCATTAACTACAAATCAGGAAGTGATTTACAGATAGTAGAAAGGAAGCCTCTTGCCCTGCACCTGCATCTGGCTGCCTAATCTTGGGTCTCCTCCTCCTGCTGCCCAACCCCCAACAACAGTGATCTATCTTCTGAGGACATCCAAGGCTGGTGAGGTAAGTTGATCGCCAAGTCTTTCCTATCCAGATTAGAGGCCATTCAGTCAGGGAGCTTTTAGCAGCCCAGGTCTAGAAATGTTAAGACTTGCCTTCCAGGGTCTATGGAATTAGCCATGCCAAATGTTCCCCAGAGCCCTCAGAGTCTGCTCTTCTCTCTGGGTTTGTAGATCCTTTGGTCCTTCAGCTGCTTCCAGAGAGTTGTTAAAATGTCACTGATGCCTCCTCCACTGTTGTTTCTCTGTCCTTCAATAGGAATATCTGGCTAAGGATTGATGCAGGGCCGCCCCTCCAGCATTTATTAGCACTTCCTTCTCAGTGGGGACCCCTGGGTCCAAAGTCCTGATGTCATCCTGTGGGTGAGTGTGTTTCACTGTTGGCTGTTTCTTGCCTTTCAGATCCTAGGTTTAAAATTAGGCTGATAAGAGAAATAAAAAATATAGGAAGTGAGAGGCAGATCCTAGAGGGAAATGGATGCCTTAAGAAGACTGGGACTGTAAGGGGCTGGGATGATGGTGCTCAGCAGGGTGTCAGTATTATTGCCGACCCTTGTAAAGAGAGACCTGCTGCAATAATTCTGTCCTCTTCTACAGCTCCTGTGACCTCATCCCCTCACAGAGCTTGTACGCAGTGGGGATGCAGGTCATCTTTTTTATTTAACACATGGAGAAACAGCAGGGAAAGGATTTGTTCCAGTCACACTGTAAGTCAAAGTTAGAGCTCCAGATAGAGCTGGCTCCCAGTCCTGCCTGCTCTCCCCCTCCAGATGCTACACCCCTCCCAGGACGGGGCACAGAGTCTTCAAGCTCTGATACACATCTGAATGCTTCATCTGCTAAGGCTTTGCCATGACAGCTATGCAATGTGCATAGCTGGCTTCATTTTAGACTCACTAGCCCAGTGCCTATGTAGCCACAGTAGCATAGAACTCAGCATGTGCTGCAAAGCCTGTTTGAGGAGCTAAGTACTTGAGTGGTTCATCCCTGCTGAGTTCTGCGTTGCCATGGCTGCACTGTTAGCACAGCTCAAGCTAGCTAGGAACTACTAGAGTGTAAATATATCCTTACTCCAACAGCACTGCTGGGATTCACATTCAGAAAGGTTTCTCTGCATTCAAAATGTCTGGAAACCAAATGACAAGTGGGATGGAAATTCTGCAGCGGGGTGTGGAATCTAGGCGCCCTCCCCCCACACACACCCAGCACACAAGGAGTTAAATGTCACACGGTACATCTGTCAGTGAGTCCTGGGGGGGCTTCTCCTTCCTTGCATCCCGCTGAGGACACAAGGGAATGTCCTCCTCTCTCTCCCACCATCCTCCTTCCCCACCGGAAGGAGGAACCCAGCAGACCATGGACCAAGGCTGGTCAGGTTGGATCAGCACAATGTTCCATTGTCCGGTATCCTTTGTGAGAGCTTCCAGACAGGCTGGTACAGAAGAAAGAGCAGGACACACCCTAGTTTTTTTTTAATCCCTACATGAATCCTTTGTGTGCCCTGGGTTTCAGAAATAATTAGCTGCATTAAGTCCACAGATTAATAGCTTTGTGTAACATTTTTTCCTTACATCGGTTTTACCTTAGCTATCTTTCAGTTTCACTGCAATTGCCTTGGCTCTTGTGTGGTGAGAAATGGTATATATTTGGTTGGTATATATATGCTTTGCTTTCACTATTCCAGTTGTTATGAAACACGAGTGCTGGGCACTGACCTGCTTTGTCAGTTTGGACAAGTAATTTCCCCTCTCTGTACCTCAGTTTCCCTCCTGTCCTTTCTGCTTACTTAGCCCGTAAGCTGGTTAGGGTCAGGCCCCTTTCTCTGACATGTGTGTACTTTGCCTAGCATAGTGGTTCTCAACTAGGGTGCCATGGCACTATAGGGTGCCGTGGGATCTTTCTAAGGGTGTTTCATAGTTTCGCAGTTGTTAGGGGCTGAAAGAGACTGCACGTGGGCCCCATATTCCCTTTCAGAAGCTGTGTTTGTTTTTTCCTTCCACAGTATGAGCCAATGGGAGCTTAATTCTGTTTTTAATTATTCCTTCTATACCAGGAAACTTGGAAGAAATAAGGGTCCTTACTGTGTGATTTTCAAGGAGAATCACACCTAGTGACTTTTTTTAAAGGATGGTTCCATTTTCTGCCATCCAGGGCACTTAATGAGGTTGCATATTGTTGCCAAGAAGCTGCATATTCCTCTTTGCAGTCTCAGACCTTGTGGATGGACCATCCATTCCCAGTGCCTTCTTCCTTTTTACTCATCAGTTTGTTAGAGCATCTTTCTTTCTGAGAACTCAGTCTTTGACTGCCTCAGTTTTATTACTGAAAACAGCAGGTTCTTGGTGGTGAAGACTCATTCAGGGAAGTTCCTCTTTTGTAACAGTTCAGTTGTTCCTTTCAGCTGTTGGGGGACCAACAGACCTGCTGGTTGCCTGGGGTTCCTGCATGTGATATAAGTGTGTGTGGTGGGGGCAGGGATGTGTGACTTGTTTGACTGTGTATCTTTGGTTGTTTGGGCTACTCTTTCCTCTCTCAAGTTCCCTTTTGCCTGCAGCAGTATCTGCCACTTTCTGTTGACAACACTGGCCTTGGATTTCCATGTTCTGAAGGACATCTCTTTGGTTCAAAGAACCCCTTGGCCCTTGCCATTTAGCCACTCTGGCTTATTCTTTACCTTTCTGCTTTCTCTCTTATTTAAAGGTCTGCCTCCATTCTGGAAATCTTTTTAAGTACCTTAAATACCCTTCCTGGTAAACCTCATTTCTTGACCTTTAATTTCAGAAATTTTTGACCGGCTGGTTCATTTACTGCTCCTATACTAGTTTTGGTATGGGCTTGATGCAGAGATCCCTGGGTGAATTTCTTTGTCTTATGTTGAGCCTGAGGTCAGATTGCATGAAGAGAACAGTTCTTTTGGGCCTTAAAACTTCTGAATTTACAAGCTTAATTTTATTATGGTAACCATTATTTAGTAACTTCATTACACTGTCTTCTCAGTCTAAGTCTATAAAACTCAACTAAGAACATCTCCTTGGCTCTGCTTCATTGTTCCAGGAAGCAATCCTTTAAGGTACCCAGTTGCTGCTTCTCTTGGCCTTATATTTTCCCAGTCACATGTGAGTAGTTGAAATCACCTGTTAGTTGCATGTTATTAAATTTTGTAGCTTCTTTGTTCTACATCACCATTTTGCTGAGCTGGAGGCCAGTAGTGCAACCATATTTGTTGTCACAGGAGTTGGGGTTTGTATCCATATGGATTTTAACAGATGGGCTGCTCTGCTCACAGTTGTTTGCCATAATATGATGGGGGCCAAGCCTTTTGCCATAAACTAGCCTTGCACCCTCCCCCAGTGCCTCTCTGATCCCTTTCTCCTGCCTGATTGGCTGCTCTGCTTTCTGCTCCCAGCCCTGTGCTCCCTGCCTGGTTTACTGCTTTCTGCTTCCTACCCTGTCTGCTGTCCTCTCCCCAGTCTGCTGTGCTACACACAGAGGCTGTTCATACTTCTCATGTGCACCCCAGACACAGACTGGCCACCCCAGTCCTAATAGATGTTTCTGAAGTTATTGGGCATAGCTCAGCTCCCCAGGATCTGCATGGAACAGAAGAAGGTTAAACACAAAATTTATTTGAACTGAAATGCCCAGCTGTGGAAGAGCAGTTTGGATAATCCCCAAACTTGATGACTGTTCTGTGCCAGCAGCATCACGTTGGTTTGGCTAAAGTGCAGTTCATTCCTCCTGTATTGGTTTCCCTATTCCACAAATTCCTCATCATCTAGGTAACTAATGTTACTACTTTCATACATGTGTGCTGAGACTGGAGTTTCTCTTGCCTTGCTGGTCTTTTGTATGAAATAGAGATATTTCGGGGGAAGCTACTACTGAGGTTCATGCGTTCTTTCTAACAATCAAATTCAGCTTCCTGGATGCATTTCCAACACTTCTCTTTGTCATTGTTTCAGTATCTGTTATGACCACAAGCTCCTCTTCAGCAATCACTAGTAGTGTGTTTTGCAGGATCCATCAGTTTTCCACCTAGTTAGAAAATCTCTAGCTATATTTCTAACAATCAAATTCACAACACCACTACCTGTCTGCTGTTCCCCTGCCCCAGGGGATGGAGCAACTTTTTTGAGGATAAATCAGCTTTACTCCTCTACTTCTGCTGAAAGGTGGATCCCATCTCTTTGACATTTTCTCTGTCACAAGACTGGCTTCCTCAGTCCTGATGTGGGTTGGCTCTGACATATGTTGTAGCCATCAATAATTCTTTCTTTCTACTTCTTCAGTTCCACAACATCAGCCTCAGCATGCTGTGTCTGGACTCTGCAGGCCCCATATTGTTTGCACCTGCTGTTACATGGACCCCCTAGTTATCGAGTTATATATTGGGCACTCTGAGCCATAACCCAGGCTGATGATAGTGCTCCTGCACTTCTCTCTGGAAAGAAGGTTGATGCCATGGACCATGTAAATGGGCTGTTTTTTTGTTAGAGTCCTAAATTGGGATTCAGGAAACCTGGTGTCAGTCCTCACCTTTGCCACAGAATTCCTCTGGGGCATGACCCTGTGCCTTAGGTTCCCACAGGGACCATAGGGTTAATAGTTATCTCACTAGAGTACGGTGAGGATGACTTAATGAATGCTGGCAAGGTGTTCAGGAGCACCAGATTTCCAGCAAGACAGTGGAGAAAAGATAAGTACAGCCTTGGCTGCTCCCAGACCTGCAAGTGATGGTTTGATCTGTGGCAACCCTATCACAGAAGGGAGAGCATTGAACTGCTGGGTGGAAGGGGAGGCATTTGCTGTTTGCATTACCCACAGCTGTGGGCCCAGGCAGGTTTCAATGCTGGTGTGATCTGCTTGGCACCACTGTAAGAATTTTTGTCTTTGGTGGGAAATGTGCTATTAACTGTGTAAGCAGGGGAAGGCTTACATAGTCAAAAGACCAGCCCATGGAGGAGCTTACCAAACGAACTGCACATAACACCCCCCCAAAACAAACCAAGAATAACTGAGGAGGGGAAAAAAAACACAAAAGGAGAAGCAGAAGTTTGTGCAAAGCAGCACAGGGCAAAGGAGCTGATGCCTCGTCTATGCTTCCTGTTCCCTGAGTTGTGCGCCGTCTAAGCAGCGCACTTGTCTTGCTTCTATCTGTGCCTGCAACAGGGAGGGAGTGAACAAGCTGAGGAAGGAAGGGGAAACAGAGTCAGAGGGGCTGATGGACTGAGGCAGAGAGCAATGCTGAGAGGCAGATGGACTGCGAGAGGTAGATGGCCAGAGCTAGAGCTGCGGAGAGAGAGTTTGGTGCCGGGGACTCCAGCAGAGACATCAGACTTCCCTTTTCTGGCCGGCATTA